TTTCGATTTTCATACGGTCCAGCAATGGGTGATCCTCTCCTGGATACGTCATTAGCACCAAACGTTCCACCTCAGCTGCAAAGTCTTGTAACGTCTCGTTTGCCCTCTGTACTCTTCCCCTTAATTCCATAAGGTAGATGTTTCGTTTATGTTCGCCACCGTACTTACGTTCCAGTGCAGCAATAACATCTTCATAGTTATTTCTAGAAGCGACAGGAATACTCTGTATAACATCAGCAGCACTGCCCTTCAATGCCAGAAGTAGTGCAACCGCTTTGTCGCTGTCGTTCCACGAATTTCTAGAAGCCACTGTCTCGAACTCTAACTTGAAAACATTGAATGACGTAGAGCCGTCGAATACAGGAGGTTTGATTTTTAGTGTGTTATCAGGAACTCGCACCGGACCCCCTTTAATTTCCAGTTCCGACATTTTCTTCTCCAGATTCGTAAACCTGTGGTCGTGGGCCAGAAATTTCTCGTCAACCGACTGCACTTTCTTATCCAACTCTTTAATTTGGACCTCCACGGTTTCCACTCTCCTTCCAATAACTTCTGTAATGTACTCGAGTTTCTCGTTCGTTATTCTCGAATTTTCTTCTAACTTTTAGGAAGTCTCTTCGAACATTCGTCTTTTTTTCCTCGCTCCTTCTGGAATTTTCCTCCAACATTTTAGCCAGCATTTCTCTGAAATCGTCACCCCAATAACAACAATAACAACACATATACAGGCGAGGGGGTAACAAAGAAAGAGGAATTAAGCGATCATCAATGATGACGTTTAACAAGAATTGTACGACAATAACAAAAATAGAAAATGAAAGAGGAAATGGAAGGATGTAGAAAAATCTATACAGTAGTTGTTGTTGTGAAGTTATTCGAATAAACTGCGTAGTAGAAATTTACGTTACAATTCAAATTCTTAAATTAACGGAATTCATCTAAATTAATCTTAAATCTAAAGTTATTTTCGTAACAATATTGAAAAATGAAATTCAGTTTTATTTGATCTGGCGATCCACTTCGTTAAAACTTCAAGAAGTCGAGTGTTTATTTGCTCTTCTTGCAATGGGTCCTCACCGATTATGGCTTATCGAAATGGATGAGGACCATATCGATGTCGTCATCGATCGGTTTGGGCCGATTCCCAACACACACATATGTTTATGTAGCCACCGGTGCTCCAGTGCTGAATTCCAATATATACAGGCAATTCGCACTGCTCAAACTGGTTTGTATTTTTTCAGGACATCAAACTGATGTCCTATATCCATAACCAGAAATAATTTTTACTTTTCAGCATGTTTAAAGATTTTGTTTTGCATCTGTCAAAGCCCCCGTAGCTTCGAAGATCTCAAAACATAATCATTCTGTGACCCAAAATACTTTCTTGCATTTATTGCGGTAATATTTTGCTGGTAAATTTTTTGTTCTACCTTTCAAAATCCAATTGACAAAATTTTCTGACCCGGACCTGAGCTAAACCCAATAATTTTCTCGCGTAATATTTAAAATTGAACAATTTTTATGCAGCGTATTTCAAAATATTTGGATTTTTAAAATATTTACTTTTTTGTTCTGTTCAAATTTGTTTTCCCTTGTTCAACCATTTACCGTTGAAGTTCATTTCGCTAACGTTTCGAAGGGAATATTTTCTGAAATTTTGATTATTAAAACTTCTTTAAAATTTTAAACCTAAGACGAATTTAGTCCTTCTCATTGGGCTACTTTCTCTTTTTTCGACAGATATCAAAATTGTTGCAAAGATAAAAACTCAAAATACTACATGGACAAAACCTTATTCGACAAATTCGCAAATTGCGTAAATGATCTACAGGATCATATTTCGATATTTTCCATAAGCAACCCGGATGACACAATACACACACTGGAAACCACTCGAATGGAACTAAACTTAACATGGTCAAAAGGTCGAGACAATGTTCCGGTGTAGAATGGAACCCCCATTGATAAAAACAAGTTGAGGGACCACTATATGGAGGCAATGGACTCGTACAAAAGCTCTGTAAATTTACAAATACAAACAACTCTGGGCGCACAGACACTAGAAAAATCCAAAAGGGAATCAGAGAGTTCACAGAAAGTCAAGGAAATGGATTTTACGCCGATATCTTGTCGGCCACCATGCGATACGGACACCTTTAAAGGAGGAATGGCCAACATTTAGGGATTTATTTTCTGCAATCTATATAAGGAATTCAAAATTAAGCAAAGTCGAAAAATTATTTCAACTGACCAAGAAGACCGCTGGAGAAGCAAGGGAAATTATTAGTTATGTTCCGCTAACTAACGATGGATTTGATTTTGCCTGAAAGAATCAAGTCAATGAATTGATTAAGACCCCTTTTTAATTTGCCAAATGTTTGAACTGACTCAAGTCAGACTATACAGAAGCTACAACGCACGGTGAATAGATGCATTCAAACTTTGGAGACCCTTGATGTCGATGATAGTTACAGTGCTCTCTTACAAATCAAATGCAACAAATCTGGCTAAATAATATTAACTGGGATGACCAATTGAAGCCAGTAACACAGATGAACTGGAACAATTTTGTTAAAAATAGTAAACAAACCGAATTTCTGAAAGTTCCGACATGGATAAGATTCCCTCCAGATGTTTCTGTGGTGATAAATTGATTTTGCGACGCTTCGAAAAGCGCATACGGAGCTACTTTATACATTAGAATAGAAAACAAAGATCAGAGCGCACAATTTTGGACGGACTCAACAATAGTTCTCTGAAATCCTATTTCCAACAAAGGTATTTCAGTGACAAGGAGCACTGGAATACCTTTGTTAGAAAATAGGATTTCAGAAAATGTTGGAAAATGTTGCTCTGAAAGCAACTCTGCTGACATTGCTAGTCGAGGGTGTTCACCTAGCGATCTAAAGACTCAGGAACTCAGGTGACATAGGCCCCAATTGCTCAAATTACCCAAGAATAATTGACCATACTCTGAAGTTCAAGACGACACGTTTTTAGAACCAAAATCAGTAAAGACCTTGACCCTATTCCGAGAAAGGGATGACCCACTCATCAATATCGAGAGTATGTCGGTCTCACGCATAAGATTTTGGAATAATACTGTGCACAACAGGGAACATTTCCGAACATCGCCAACAGATCTTTCTGCACCACAAATTTAGGACGGAAAACGGGCCAGAATAATTCGCACACAGAAGTTCTTTTATCCCGATGAATATACATCACTGGAAAATAAGACCCGAATTTCTCCATCTAGCTCACTTTTGACACTTAGCCCATTTCTGGACTCAAAAGGAGTTATGCGTTCAAATGCTCACGTACGGAGAACGACACCCTATATTATTACCTCACGGAGAGCACTTAGCAAATTATTAGTAGACTTTACTGACTAAGTCACCCTACATGGACGTTATCAACTAATAACCCGATTTTTAAGGGCTGAATTCTGCATATTCGGTCTTCAGTCATTGGTCAAAAAGACTATACACAATTGCAAGACGTGCATAATTTATAAGAAACGATCCCAGAAACAAATAATGGCTTCCCTTCCGCCAGAAGCTATATGCGAAGTTTCACATTTAGACATTTCATAACATGTTAATATGTATATTCTAATACTAATTTGAAAAAATGTGTTTGCCCATCATTCTTTTATTAATAGATTTCAAATTTCAGATACCTATCTCTACCTGTTCCATCGTAGTATAATATTTAGAACTTTTTAGTACCCTTAGTACAAATTACTAAAATTTGTTCGAACATTCTAATTTGTTTATCATGGACTAAATTACATACCAACTTTCAGAGTTGCAGTTACAACCGTTCCGGCGTAATACAGTTTTTAGTTCTATTTAGTACCATTTTAGTACTAAATTCCAAAAAATATTTTTGCACATCATTCTATTTATAATAGCTTAAGCTCCATACCAGACATCTTTCCCTACTTGTTCTATCGTAATATAATATTTAGTACTTTTTAGTACATTTAGTACTAATTTCCAAAATTTTGTCACTCATTCTGATTTGCTCATCATAGACAAAGCTGTATACCAAATTTTAGAGTTCTACTTCCAACCGTCCCGGTGTAATCCAGTTTTAGTGCCAATTTCCAAAAAAAAATATTTCTGCAAATCATTCCATTAGGAAACGATAACATAAACGCATATCGTTTCCTTGTGGTTGTTGTATTTTCGATAACATATAACGCGACGGATGGCTCAATGCGAGCATTCTGCTTAGCCCTTTAGTAATAGCTTAAGCCACATACCAAGTTCAGATAGGCATCTTTATCGATTCCATTCAAATATAATGTTACTTTTTAGTACCTCTTAGTACTAAATTCCAAAAATTGTTCACACATACCACTTGGCTTATCGTAGGCAAAGTTACATACCAAATTTCAGATTTCTACATCTAACCGTTCTCGCGTAATACAGTTTTTAGTTCGAATTTCCAAAAACCCATCCTTATCTCACGCCTACACATCAACAACACCCCACACTCAAAATTTCAAGTTTCTAGCTTTAGCCGATTCGTCTGGGCGATGATCTTGTCTCATTCGCTCACTCACTTAACGCTAAGCTCTGTTATATATTAAGATTAAAAATATCTAGTCTGTTCCCGTACTGCAAGAATCAACTACTTTTTACTACGATAACGAATTTTCCACTATGTTATCGAAGAAAATTATAAAATCTCGTAGGTTCTTGCAGTACGGGAACATTTTTATTTAAAACGAATTGTTAATATCGTATGTGAAATATGGTTCGTGTCTTTACTACGAGCACAAGCTATTTGTCGCCTTTCGATAACTCCATAGCAGTTATCGATAACCTTTTTCGCTTGGTATTCGATTATCCAAATGCTGTGTTTTTGTAAACAAAAAACATATGTTTATCAGATGTTGATAAGATGTTCAACACAAGTTTCACAATATCTAGAAATCCAATCGCATATAAATACCGGTCAGCTCGCAAGTAGTTCTCCCTCCAACCATGACTGATAGCCACACTGAAATGATCAAAACAATAGCTGTAATTGATTTGGAAACCAATGGACTGCCGTGGCAACAACGAAATACCTGTGCCATCACCGAACTTAGTATTTATGCCTTTTCCTCCGCCTGCCTTAGTGGTCACAAGGAAGATTCCCTGTTCAAGGAATTAGATGATGATCTGCAAATTGCCGAGAAACGACAACCGCCAATGCTGCCCCGTGTTCTACACAAAATCACTATGATGATTAATCCCAACAAGGAAATCCATCCAGATGCTGCCAAGATGTCAGGTGAGTTTGTAATTTTACTTTTGTTTTCGAGTTCTTAGTGACGTCAGCAAAATCTGTCGAAACAAAGTATTGATCGTTGTATTAATGGCAGTCTTTATAGACGAGCTGAAGCAGGGAGTCTTTATAGACGAGCTGAAGCAGGGAGTCTTTATATACGAGCTGAAGCAGGGAGTCTTTATAGACGAGCTGAAGCAGGGAGTCTTTATAGACGAGCTGAAGCAGGGAGTCTTTATAGACGAGCTGAAGCAGGAAGTCTTTATAGACGAGCTGAAGCAGGAAGTCTTTATAGACGAGCTGAAGCAGGAAGTCTTTAAAGACGAGCTGAAGGGAGTCTTTATAGACGAGCTGAAGCAGGGAGTCTTTATAGACGAGCTGAAGCAGGGAGTCTTTATAGACGAGCTGAAGCAGGGAGTCTTTATAGACGAGCTGAAGCAGGGAGTCTTTATAGACGAGCTGAAGCAGGAAGTCTTTATAGACGAGCTGAAGCAGGAAGTCTTTATAGACGAGCTGAAGCAGGAAGTCTTTATAGACGAGCTGAAGGGAGTCTTTATAGACGAGCTGAAGTGATTCTTTATAGACTTTTCCAAGGCATATATAAGGCCTGGATATTTTATATAATTTTTTTCAAGGCCTACATAAGGCGTAGATTTTTTAAATAATTTTCAAGTCCTATATAAGGCGTGGATTTTTTAAATATTTTTTTCCAAGGCCTACAAAAGGCGTGGATTTTTTTTAATAATTTTTTTTCAAGGCCTATATAAAGCTTGGATTTTTTAAATAATTATTATACCCTTCACCACACTGTGGTACAGGGTATTATGTCTTTGTGCATATGTTTGTAACAGGCAAAAATAATCGAGATAGACCCATGGTTCCTTTTGAGAATATGCATAGAATCACTTTCTAAGTCGATTTATGCATGTCCGTCCGTCCGTCTGTCTGTCTGTCTGTCCATGTTAAATTGTAAACAAAGTACAGGTCGCATTTATGATCCGAATTGGATGAAATTTTGCACAGGTCACTTATTCGGCCCAAGGACGAACCCTATTGAAATTGGGAAAAATCGGTTCAGATTTAGATATAGCTCCCATATATATATTTAACCGGTTTAATGTAAACGGTCCCTATATATCTTTCGATTTGCACGAAATTTGGTACAGGCTAATCATTTAGGCCTATAATGATGTCTGCCAAGTTTCGTGAAAATCGGTCCAGATTTAGATATAGCTCCCATATATAGTTTCGTCCGATTTCAGGTAAATGGTGCCCCAAAGTCCCTATATATCTTTTGATTTGCACGAAATTTGGCATAACGTACTGAATTAAGCCTAGAGTGAAGTCTGCCAAGTTTCGAGAAAATCGGTCCAGATTTAGATATAGCTCCCATATATAGGTTCGACCGATTTCATGTAAATGGTGCCCCAAAGTCCCTATTTATTTTTTGATTTGCACGAAATTTGGCATAACGTACTGAATTAAGCCTAGAGTGATTTCTGCCAAGTTTAGAGAAAATCGGTCCAGATTTAGATATAGCTCCCATATATAGTTTCGTCCGATTTCATGTAAATGGTGCCCCAGAGTCCCTATATATCATTCGATTTCCACGAAATTTGGCATAACGTATTGAATTGAGCCTAGAATGATGTCTGCCAAGTTTCATGAAAATCAGTCCTGATTTAGATATATCTCCCATATATAGTTTCGTCCGATTTCATGTAAATGGTGCCCCAAAGTCCCTATATATCTTTCGATTTGCACGAAATTTGGCATAACGTATTGAATTAAGTCTAGAATGATGTCTGCCAAGTTTCATGAAAATTCCGTCCTGATTTAGATATATTTCCCATATAGTTTCGTCCGATTTCATGTAAATGGTGCCCCAAAGTCCCTATTTATCTTTCGATTTGCACGAAATTTGGTATAGCCTATTCATTTAGGTCTAGAATGATGTATGTAAAGTTTCGTAGAAATCGGTCCAGATTTAGATATAGCTCCCATATATAGTTTCGTCCGATTTCATGTAAATGGTACCCCAAAGTCCCTATATATCTTTCGATTTGCACGAAATTTGGGATAACGTACTTAATTGAGCCTAGAAGGATGTCTGCCAAGTTTTATGAAAATCAGTCCAGATTTCTATATAGCTCCCACTTATATATAGCTCCCACTTATAGTTTCGTCCGATTTCATGTAAATGGTGCCCCAAAGTCCCTATATATCTTTCGATTTGCACGAAATTTGGTACAGCCTAATCATTTAGGTCTAGAATGATGTATGTTTCGTGAAAATCGGTCCAGATTTAGATGTAGCTCCCATATATAGTTTCGTCCGATTTCATGTAAATGGTACCCCAAAGTCCCTATATATCTTTCGATTTGCACGAAATTTGGCATAACGTACTGAATTGAGCCTAGATTGATGTCTGCGTTGTTTCGTGAAAATCGGTCCACATTTAGGTATAGCTCCCTTTTATTATAGATTGATTTTAAGTACTTGACGCACAAGGAACCAATAGGAACAAAACGTTCTGAAATTAGTATAACGTATCCTGTGACAAGTTTGTTTGAAATCGCTTAATATTTGGCCCGATTTCAAGTAAATTGGGCATCAAACTCCTCATGTTAGTCAGTTTGACATCAAATTTTGCATAGAATTATGTAGTTTCGTTTTCTAGAAGTACAGACATAGCCCAACGAATGACCTATTTATATTTGTTTGAAGTCGATTTACATACTTTATGGATAGATCTACGTAGATTCACATTTAGATAAATATCACATATTTTATTTCATTCAAGTACATGCTAATAGTCCTGTTTAATATACCCATAGTGGTGAAGGGTATCATATAGTCGGCCCCGTCCGACTTTACTACTTTCCTTACTGGTTTTTTTTATTATTTACAGGTCTAACAAATAGTCTGCTGGAAAATGAGGCTCCCTTCGATGAGAATACTGCCAATTGTTTATTTATGTTTCTGGAACGTCTGGAGGCACCGGTGTGTTTTGTAGCCCACAATGGCTGGTCTTTTGATTATCCCATTATACGTTATGTCCTGCAGACTATCAATAAGGTGAGTACATTTCAAGAGAATAAATGTCATAATAATTCATTTGCATTTCTTTCCCCTCCCTTAGACAATGCCCTCATCGATATTTTGCATTGATACAATGAAAGCATTTCGTGAATTTGATGAAAAAGAACTACAAATTAACTCGATCAAAGAACAATTACAACAAATGGAATTAAATAGCAATAGAGGTGCAATTACGACGACAACAACAACAAATAACTGTGATATTATACCAACAAAATTAACATTAGCAGCTGAAACAGAAAAACGATTATTTGCCATTAATCAATATCGGGAAGTATTTTCGAAACCTTTTACACCGGCAACACGATTACCCCAAAAAGGTGTCTATGTTTTGGGTAATATTTACGAACGCATTTTCCATGAAAAAGCCGCAAATCTACATCGTGCCGAAGCTGATGTTGAAGTTTTAACTAAATTAATTTTACACTATGGCCTTGTATTTCTGGCCTATGTCGAGGAACGTAAACAATCCTTTGATGAGGTTTTACCACTGGGATCTCGCTGTTAACATAGATACATTATTATGAATGTTTTTTTTTTAATAATATCAAATATTAGTAGGTATACAAATTTATATACATATCAATATATATTTAATTTTTTTAGACAATTTTTTAAAGCTATGTAGTAAATAAATATTTAAAAAATATATATTTAAAAAAAACCTACACACTATCACTGAATTCCTACGATCTGTGGATCTATATTCCGAGCCTGGGCAATAATTTGTGATATTTGCAACATTTGGACCGATTAGATTATTTGGTGATAATCGATCGACATAGCATATTGAATTGAGTCTGTACCTATTTTTTATATGTATTATTAGCAAAGTGGTATGAGACGAATGTAGCACTTTTAACACCCACTCCGTCGAGCGATAAGGCTGGTTTTCTGACAAGCATTTCCTCTATTCGAATTCTCATTGACTCAGTCACATTTTTAATTGCAATACGTTATATGCATCCAACATCCGTTTTGTTATTTATTTTTATTATATAACAGGCCGTGAGCAAGCCTTGTGTACCATATAAATTATTGTATTAGTATAGCATGTAGCTTTTCATCATGTAATCGAAAATAAAGATTCAATAACAACTATATTTAATACTTCAACAACTACTGGGCAACTTGATAAGACGCCCACCATAAGCTTCGCAATATCCAGAAATTCCATAACTTATAAATACCGGTTAATTCATAGTACCGTGAAATTCGCTCGCGAATAGTTTTTCCAACCAAACCTGACCGATAGCTGCAAAGAAATGATCAAAACAATAGCTGTAATTCATGTGGAAACCACTGGACTGCCGGAGGAACAACAGAATACCTGTGCTATTACCGAGCTTAGTATTTATGCCTTTTCCTCAGCCTGCCTCAGTGCCCATAAGGAAGATTTACGACAACCGCCAAAGCTGCCTCGTGTCCTACACAAAATTACCATGATGATTAACCCCAACAGGGAAATCCATCCAAAAGCTGCCGAAAAGTCAGGTGAGTTCGATTGGTTATTAATGACACGAAAAAAAACTGTCGAAACAAAGTCTTGATCGTTGAATTAAAGGTAGTCTTTATAGACGAGCTGAGTGGAGTCCTTATAGACAAGGCGTGGATTTTTTTAAATAATTTTTTTGAGTGGCTAGGCGTGGATTTTTAAAATAATTTATTTCAAGGCTTACATAAGGCGTGGATTTTTTAAATATTTTTTTTCAAGGCCTACATAAGGCGTGAATTTTTTAAATATTTTTTTTCAAGGTTTACATAAGGCGTGGATTTTTTAAATAATTTTTTTCAAGGTCTACATAAGGTGTGGATTTTTTAAATAATTTTTTTTTAAGGTCTACATAAGGCGTGGATTTTTTAAATAATTTTTTTGTCAAGGCCTACATAAGGCGTGGATTGTTTAAATAATTTTTTTCAAGGCCTTCATAAAGCGTGGATTTTTTAAATAATTTTTTTCAAGGCCTTCATAAGGCGTGGATTTTTTAAATAATTTTTTTCAAGGCCTTCATAAGGCGTGGATTTTTTAAATAATTTTTTTGTCAAGGCCTACATAAGGTGTGGATTTTTTAAATAATTTTTTTGTCAAGGCCTACATAAGGCGTGGATTTTTTAAATAATTTTTTTGTCAAGGCCTACATAAGGCGTGGATTTTTTAAATAATTTTTTTGTCAAGGCCTACATAAGGCGTGGATTTTTTAAATAATTTTTTTGTCAAGGCCTACATAAGGCGTGGATTTTTTAAATAATTTTTTTGTCAAGGTCTACATAAGGCGTGGATTTTTTAAATAATTTTTTTGTCAAGGCCTACATAAGGCGTGGATTTTTTAAATATTTTTTTTCAAGGCCTACATAAGGCGTGGATTGTTTAAATAATTTTTTTTTTAAGGTCTACATAAGGCGTGGATTTTTTAAATAATTTTTTTGTCAAGGCCTACATAAGGCGTGGATTTTTTAAATATTTTTTTTTGTCAAGGCCTACATAAGGCGTGGATTTTTTAAATATTTTTTTCTTAACCCCAATACAAGACCTGACTGATTATTTGTATTATTTTCAGGTCTAACAAATAGTCTGCTGAAAAATGAGGCTCCCTTTGATGAGAATAGTGCTAATTGTTTATTTATGTTTCTGAAACGCCTGGAGGCACCGGTGTGTTTTGTAGCCCACAATGGCTTGTCGTTTGATTATCCCATTATACGCAATGCCCTGCAAACTATCAATAAGGTGACTACACTCCCATAATAATATTATCCATAATTCTTATAAATCCCTCTACATTTCTTTCCCTCCTCCTTAGACAATGCCCTCATCGATATTTTGCATTGACACATTGGAAGCATTTCGTGAATTGGATGAAAAAGAAATGCAAATTAAGTCCATCATAGAGCTAGCAATTGAAACGGAAAATCGCCTTTTCGACATTTATCAATATCGGGGAGTATTTTGGAAAACTTTAACACCGGCAACACGATTGCCTGAAACAGATGCCTATGATTTGGCTAATATTTACGGACGCATTTTTGATGAAAAAGCCGAGAATCTACATCTTGCCGAAGCTGATGTTGCAGTTTTAACTAAATTAATGTTACACTATGGCCTTGTATTCCTGGCCTATGTCGAGGAACGTAAACAATCCTTTGATGAGGTATTACCACTGGGATCCTGCTCTTAACATAGTTTATTATGAATACTGTTTTATAATATCAAATATTAATCATTATACAAATTTATATATATATATTAAATTATAAACATATTTTTAATAAAGTTTTGGAAATTTGTACTAAATGGTACCAAATGCGGGTTTGTGTGAATCGATTGAGCGGGAAACCTTGAAATATGAAGTTGGGATCACTTTTGGAGTGCAGGATTGGGCTTTGTAGGAAGATCTGGAAATTTGTACTAATGTGTACTAAATTTGGTACAAATTAAATTGTTGGTGAACCAATACATCTGAAATCCTGAATATTTGGAGATAGGGTTACTGTTGGTCTTAGGGTTACACGACCTATAGACACCCATAACATTTTTTCTTCGGTATGGCAACCCCAAAAATATTCTGAAAATTTAATTTTCTATTTGTAATTCAACTGCCAAAGAACTCTCAAAAAAAAAAAAAAAAAAAATAAAAACCAACATGTCCCACCAATATCCACGAGGTTCCATATTCGCCAATGGCCGTACATCCCAGGGATCCATTAGTGTACCCCCTGCCTTCTACGACTCTCGCCGTACCACAATTTATTCTCAGGGTATTGTAAAGCCGCATCGAGATTCCACCCAAGATGATTATCATCCGGCATTAGTGGTAAAGGTGTGCCAACAAACCAATGATCAGGGTTGGCATTTCAGGGAATTGGAACTGGATCGTGACAAACTGCCCAAATATGAATATAATATCGAAATGGCCCAGAGATGGTTAACACTGGAGGGTAAAGATGGTAGGCTGCATAAATTTCCACTAAGAACCATATTACCCAAGGTGCAAATGACCCGGCGGGTACCGGCCAAACAATTGCCACGGGATGTGGAAGTGGATCGTAGGCGGAGGCTGTTCAATAAGGTTAATTTACCGGAAGAATTGGACAAGGCCGGCATGGTGGCAGAGGAGTTGCTGCCCTCGGAGGAACAATATTATCTGTTGTCCGAGAAGGCCTTTAAACATTTTCTACCCTTGAGTTTTTTCGATGATCCCAATATGGAAAGTCATGTACCGGAGGTGTGGCTGTCATTGGGTGATGTGGAGGGTGATCGCAGATATCCGCTGCCGGCCAAGGCTTTTCTACCTTGGCAACAAAATCTGAGAAACTATGAATGGCAAGATGCGGCTGTGGAGGATTATGATGCGGAGCGTGGTAAATGGAAGGTTATGGTCTTGGCGGATGAGTGCTACTATGAGGTTCCGGTTATACAAATCATGTTCTTGGCGGAGAATCCGTTTTTGTTCATTGAGCGGTTACGTTTGGCTGTGGAGCAACGTAACCTAGCCGAGTCCCTGATCACGATGGAGACAATTGCCGATTGTGTCCTCCGGCAGGATTTGAATGAGAATTTTGAATATGAAAATAAATTGCTGGATCGACTTATGGCCGATGTCAATACGGATGTGGTGTTTTATCAGCAATTGCGACGGGAGGTATATTTACTTTTCGAACACTTAATGGCCTGCTATGATTTGCACAGATTTGTTAGAATTGCACCCAAACAATTTCCCCAACTAAAGGCGGAGGTTCTAGAAAAATTCCTACCCAAGGCCTATGTTTCGGAAAACAGCCTTAGGGAATGTGAAATTTTAAAGGGTTTTAATTTGGATATTGGAAAAAGAAGTAACGAGGTGTTGAGATCTTCGTTGTATTATACCGAGGGTGGTATTCTGGCCATGGCGAATGTGACCTCAGAATGTCTGTATATTGAGACTCTAAATCTATTCATTTGCAATTTTGTCAAGGCAATGCCTTTGTCGGAATTCCTCACCGTCCAACAACAACAAAGTACCCAAGTATCGGGATATTTGAAGAACTCCTGGCCTTCCAAATTGGCTATGGGAATTATTATGATTCTCCGGCCCTTGGGTAAAGGTTGGTTGGATATAGGTCTGGATAAATGGAGAATTTATGAAATGTGTAAAATTTTCCGTTTTATCCGGCAAACCAAATTTCGTATGCAGGAATCAATGCAGGTGCTATTGGAAACTTCGATTGGAAATTTTACGAAATTTCTTAGTGAGCCGTGTTTGGGATTTCTAGAACTTCGGGAAGACTATCAATGGACTAATGATTTTATTCACTCCGAATTCCGCTACGATAATCCCATTTTCTCCCTCGTCCTAGGTGTCAACGAAGACACCAAAGAGGTGGAGTATTCTACAAGGCCCGAAGAATTCCCTCCCGCCCTCAAGGAGGTATTCAAGAAAAGCCTGGAAAAGACAAGTGGGGTTCGCTGCATCGATGCTGAGACCCTTACAAATTTAAGATTTGCTCCAAATCTTTTTATACTAACCGTGGAACTAATCGAAGATCTTTATACCGAATGCGATGATTTACTACAGAATTGTTACCGAAAGGCCATTGGACCTCTGTATTCCTATGCAAGAAAATACGAGAGATTTGTGGAATTTTATTTGTTACACGTACCCACCTATATGGCGGAATATCGATCGGCCCAAAAGTCTTCGATGCAAGTGAAAATGGATATTTTGGAACATAAACGCTGTAAAGAGGAAATGCGTGAAATTTTACCAGCTACAATTAGCATTGGACCCTTCCTGGTCATTGTGGATCCCATGAAGCAGTATATGATACGAAAACGTATTGAAATTGTAAAGAGGATTTTTGAATACTACATCGATCGAATGTATGATACAAATGAACGTTTGGTGGAGCGATGTTTGGAAATCTATAATCGTATCAATGAGAAGCCGCAAAGTATTGAACATCTATTTGATATCAGGGCATTTGCCCAGACTATACCGGAATTGGTGGATCAGCTAAGGGCCGATATACAAGTAATGTGGTTGGAATATGATATGTTAGATAGTTTTTTCTATAATTTACCCGATCATCAATTTGCCATGAAATGGGAGGCCTATGCATGGCCCAAGCAAATTTTGGATCGTTTGAGTACCCTAAAGGAGGAACAGAAGCTGGATATTGAAGAATTTAAGCGATTGCATTTAAGTGAATGTATTGGATTTGAGGAGCGATTGGAATCGCTCAACGATGAGATACAACAATTTTCATTGCAATTTAATCCGAAAAAGGTTATGGAAACGGCCGTGGAGGTAAGAATGGGGAATAGGTGGAGATTTTTTTAAAAAGTATTTTTTCAAAGGACCCATCAAAGGACCGTTGATTTTTTTAAAAATATTTTTTCAAGGTCTACCATAGAAGAGTTAAAAAAAAATTTTTTTGCAGGTCAAGAAAACTTGGAAAATAATCCAAGATCTACAAAAACTCGGTGAGACCTTACGCTATCGCCAGGAACTCTTCGAATTGGAAGAACTTTCATTAGAGTTCCTGTCCAGTATCATCGAGGGATTTTTACCCTATAAAAATCTATGGTATGCCTGTCAAGATCTGGTGAAATTGGAAGAAGCCACGGTGGGAAATCCCATTGTAAATATCGATCTGAATGATGTCTGGGAAGCTATGCAAGTGATAAAAAATTCCCTTCAGGAATCTCTGGAGATTTTCAATGAAAAACCTGAAATACAAAATGTCGCACATTATTTTCTACAAATCCTCGAAGAATTTATACCAAAATATAATGCCATAGGAGATTTGAAAAATGAAAATTGGCTCTATTTGCATTGGCAAGAGTTGGCATTACGTTCCGGTATGGATATCAAATATTCGGCGGCTATGAATTTTCAATACTGCATACGTAAGGGTATGATGGATCATTTGGAATTGGTACATGAAATATCGCAGAAGGCAACAAACGAAGCGGATGCCATACGCCGAGCCTGGGAGGAAGAGGAACAACGTAAGGAGGAGGAAAGGCAAGCGATACTAATGCGCAAGGCAATGAGGAAGTGTAGGAGAGATATTGTATAGAGACTGTTATTTCATATTACATTTTTTATTATTAACCAAATAAAATAGTTTTAATATAAATAATAAAAAAAGTACTTACTTACCTGGCTTGTGACAGAACTTTCGTTCCACAAGCCGAGCTTAAACAAATTCCCAGGCGCGTCGGTCTTTTGTGCAGTTTTTCCAGTTTGAAAAATCATATTTTGTAATGTTGTCCTCCACTTGATCTTTCCATCTTATTCGCGGCCTTCCCCTTCTGCGTGAACTATCCTGGCTTGTGACAGAACTTTCGTTCCATAAGCCGAGATTAAAAAAGATTTCCAGGCGCGTCGGTCTTTTGCGCAGTTTTTCCAGTTTGGAAGATCATATTTGGCAATGTTGTCCTACATTTGATTTTTCCATCTGGTTCGCTTATATATAACTTTTGGGCTGGGGCATCTTCATCCATTCTGACAACATGACCTAGCCAAAGTAATCGCTGCAGCTCAATACGTCTAACAATGCCGATGTCCGAGAATAGCTGGTACAGCTCATGGTTCATTCGACGCCGATATTCACCGTCGACACAGATCGGCCCGTAGATCTTTCGGAGATTTTTTCTTTCAAACGCCCCAAGAGCTGCCTCATCTGCTTGCGCAAGTACCCATGCTTTAGATCCATATAACAGCATGGGTAGTATCAGCGTCTTTGTGAGTTTGGTCTGGCGGGAGGTGGCCTTGTTTCTAAACTACTTACTTAGTAGCCATAGTAGCATCCGTTGGCCATCACAATCCTTCTACGAATTTCAAAACTGATGTCATTCGTTTTATTTATGGCGGTACCAAGGTATATAAAATCTTTAACTACCTCGAAGCTGTAGTTCTCATGTTCCACAGTTGGTCCGAGCCTATTGGACGTCTTGGGCATTGATATCTTGGTGGGTAAGTTGAGCGGGCGTTGGTCTTCTCGCCGTTTACTGCCAGACCCACTTTGGCAGACTCCTTATCTATATCATCGACGTAGGAGAGTAACATGTGTTGTTTGGTGTACAGAGTGTCATTTCTGTTCACTTTTGCATCTCGTATGACCTTTTCCAGCAAGATGTTAAGAATATCACACGACAAACTGTCACCTTTTCTAAATCCTCGTTTGTTATTGAAGGGCTCCGAGAGGTCCTTTCCGACAATAACTGCTGATCTTGTGCCAGTTAAAGTTATCCTGCATAGCCGTATTAATTTTGCAGGAATGCCGAACGTAGACATGGCTTTAAACACCTCTGAACGGATAGAGCTCTCGAAAGCGGTTTTATAGTCGAAGAATAGGTGGAATGTGTCGATGTGTTTTTCGTGGGTCTTCACCAGGATTTGCGCAGAGTGAAAATCTGGTCAGTGATGGGTTTGCCAGGTCTGATGCCGCATTGGTATGATCCAATAATGTCATTGACTATTGGCTTCAGTCGTTCACACAGCACACTGGATAGCACTTTATATGCGATGGGAAAGAGACTTATTCCTCTATAGTTGGCACATATCGTCTTGTCTCCTTTTTTGTGCACGGGACACAGGATGCTGAGGTTCCAATCATTGAGCATGCATTCCTCTAGCCAAATTGTACTAATCAGTTGGTGTATCCTCTTACCAGCATCTGACCGCTAGTCTTAAATAGTTCGGGTTGTAACCCATCGGCACCTGCTGCTTTATTATTCTTCAGACGATTAATTGTTATTCTGACCTTATCTTGGCTATACACTCTTTACCATCATCTCTTATTGGTTCAGGGGTATATTCTTCACCGCCACTATTTGATACCAGAAGCTTTTCAAAATGCTTCTTCCAGATTCTCAGCACGCTGTCTGCATCTCTCATCAGGATTTCTTCTTCATCTCTACAGAAGGATGTGCCTGCAGCAAAACCTTCGGTTTGGTGTTTTTACTCGTTGGTAAAATTTCCGGACTTCATTTTGACTCCTGTACATCTCGATTTGCTCACGCTCACGTTTTTCTTGTTCTTTCTTCTTTTTTCTGAAAACACGTTTCTCCTCTCTCCTTTTCTCCCGATAATTCTCCATCGCATTACGTGTTGCTACTGTCTGCAGGGTTTCCCTATACGCTGCGTTTTTCACATCAGTAGCATTACGACACTCCTGATCGTACTATGGGTGGTGGTGGTGGTTTTTGGAACCCATTGTTGCTTTTGCTGCAGTTTGTAGTGAGTGGGCAATTCTCTGCCACTGTGCTTCTATATTGTTATAGGGACAAGGGGTGCTTTTGTCAAGTCGGTGGGTAAATTGAGCGGAGTAGGCCTCGGCTACCTGTTGTCTTTGTAGCTTTTCGACGTCGAGTTTCCGTGTTGTGTTAGATCGCAACTTTGCTGCTACATTAAGAAGGGTGCGTACCTTGGCTGCCAAAAGGAAATGGTCCGAATCGACATTCGCTCCTCGGATCGATCGAACGTCTAATACACTGGATGAATGCCTTTTGTCTATCACAATATGACCAATTTGATTTCTCGTTGCTTGATCAGGAGAAATCCACGTGGCCTTGTGTATATCGAGATGCTTCAATCTACTGCTGCTAACTACCATGTTTTTTTACTGCCGCGAAGTCAATCAACCTCATGCCGTTGTCGGATATTTCTTCATGAAGGCTGAATTTTCCGACGGTGGTGCCAAAGATATTTTCCCTTCCGATTTTTGCATTAAAATCTCCTAGGAGAATTTTAATGTCATGGCCAGGGCAGCGATCATGTGATGTTTCCAGGCGCTTGTAAAATATGTCTTTGGTCTGCTCGTCTTTGTCTTCGGTCGGAGCATGGGCGCAAATGAGACTGATGTAGAAGAACTTCGCTTTTATGCGGATTAGAGCAATTCGCTCATCTACTGAAGTGAATCTGGAGACGAGGTCTTTTATTCTCCTGTTAAATCCGCAGCCAAATTCATATCTCGTTTCATGGCAGCTATAATATGGTAGCGTAATCGTCTGATTTACTTACTCCTGTCCCTTTCCATCGCATTTCCTGTATGGCAATAATATTGGCTTTGTACTTCATGCTGTTGTCGGATGTTTCTTCATGAAGGCTGAATTTTCCGACGGTGGGACCAAAGATATTTTCCCTTCCGAATTTTGCATTAAAATCTCCTAGCAGAATTTTAATGTCATGGCCAGGACAGCGATCATATGGTGTTTCTAGGCGCTCGTAAAATCTGTCTTTGATCTGCTCATCTTTGTCTTCGGTCGGAGCATGGGCGCAAATAAGACTGATGTACAAAAACTTCGCTTTTATGCGGATTATAGCAATTCGCTCATCTACTGGAGTGAATCTGGAGACGAGGTCTTTTATTCTCCTGTTAACCATAAATCCACAGCCAAATTCATGTCTCGTTTCATGGCAGCTATAATATGGCAGCGTAATCGTCTGATTTACTTACACCTGTCCCTTAACATCGCATTTCCTGTAAGGCAATAATATCGACTTAGTCATTCTTGAGTACATCCGCCAAAGCGAAAACTGCGCCTGTTCTGTACAACGTGCGCCGCATTCCAAGTGCAGATTCGCCGATCGTGGTCCTTTATACGTTTGCGGGGGTCGTCAACATTAAGGGGGTTTGGTTTTGTTTGCTTTTTCATAGTAGGAGGGGTTTTCCGCCTCAACTCATTTTTTTATAGTGATTATCGGTGAACTCGCGGCACATATAAGCTCACTATTTCAACGGGTGATGAAAATAGTTACCCCAAATGACACCGCGGGTCAGTGTCCACAATTGAGATGAAAGAGGGACCAAGATAAGCCTGGTTTTCGCCATATTAAAGCCAATCAGAGCCGTTGCTTGGTATCTATTATCCCCTACGCTACCCAATGCGTTATAGAGTTTCTAACGCCGCGAAATATTGGTCCTAGACCCACCCTAGACCGATTGTCATATCTCGACTAACTGAGTCGATCTAGACATGTGTGTTCGTCCGTCCTTCTGTCCATTATAATTTGTAAAGACGATACAGGCCACAGCTATGGATCAATTTTCACGAAATTTTGCATGGAGGATGGGTTCTTCCCAATGAGGACCTCTATTGTTTTTGGTAAAGATCGGTTAATATTTAGGGGATGAAATGGACCTAGACCCACCTTTAATTATACCGATCGTCATATCTTGACTAGCTGAGTCGATCTATACATGTGTGTCCGTCCGTCTGTCTGTCCATTATAATTTGTAAACACGATATAGGCCACAGTTATGGACCAATCTTTGCATGTAGGTTGGATTCTGCCCAATGAGGACCTCTATTGTTGTCGGTAAAGATCGGTTAATATTTAGGGATGAAATGGACCAAATACTTAAATTTGGCACACTTTTTCTGGTCGCTCCAGAGGCCGCAATTATGGCCCGAATAACGCAAAAGTTTACATGGAGAAGAGGATTGGACCAGAGAATATACATGCCTGCTTTGATAAAGATCGGTCATTATTTAGCGCGTCAAATGGACCCTGACTTTTGTGTGAAAAATTAATTAATAAAAAATATTTTTTTTAAAAAATCCGCACCTTTTGTAATTACTTACCATTTGTTTTGAAATTCAAAATAATTATGTGTGTTTTTTTATTTTTCAAAATATTTGCATTTTTATTTTTTTTCTTTCTTTGTTTTTTTCCACTTTCCTTTTTTCATCATCAATCAATTTTTCATAAATTAGTTTCGGTTTTATTTGTTTTTTTTTGTTTGTGTTTCATTTTAATTTAATTAATTATGCTATGAAATTAGTTATACTTAAATTTAATTGGTTTTTAATTTTTTTTTTAATTTTAGTTTTTTTTTGTTTGTTCATCGGTTTTGCATTCGCTTTTTTGTCTATTTTTTTTTATTTAAATTTATTTCAATATCATTTTTTGTGTGTTTAGTTTAATTTATTATTAATTTAATAATTTTTGTTTTTTTTTTCTTGTGGTTTAATTTAATTCGTCAATGTGACGAAAATATGTGTGTTGAGTGTGTTTTTAATTAATTAGTGTTTTTTTTTCAATTAATTAAAAATATGGGGATAAAAAATT